AGTTAATAATCTATTCACATGATTTGACTCAGCACTACTGGACATGGACCTTAAGGAGGTAAAAGATGGAAAGGCCTCATATATAGCTAAACATATGCATACATATATAAGTGTGTATGTATATATATGTATATATACTTATATGTAGGTTATCTATTACATATACATGTATATTGTGTATATATATATGTCAGGCCTGCACAATCTGAGGCCTGTGGGACGCTTACAGCCCTTCAGCCACTTGCGACATGCCAAAGAATTTTCCTCTACATTTTTTCCAGCCACCCCAAAATCCTTTGGTGTGTTGTAAGCAACCCAAGGGCCGTAAGCAGCCTGAGGGCCATAAGTAGCATGCTGGCCACAGGCTGTGCAGGCCCGGCATATGTATATAGGTATATATGTGCACGTATATGCATATATGTAGGTGTGTACATGGGCATATATACGTATATGTATGTGTGTATGCATGTGTATATTTATGTAGGCATATATGTGCATATATGTATGTGCATGCACATGTAGGTATATTATATATCTGTGTGCACATACATGCGTGCATACACATATATACATGCGCACATATATGTGCATATGTGTTCTCCCAAAATATTAATAGCAGCATTTTTTCATGTGTGAGAAAAAAATAACCAGCAAAGAGGCAATAATGGGATAGATAGCAATTAGGGGGTATGTCTTAAAGTCAAGAAGATCTGCATTCAAGTTGCAACTCTGATACATACTAGCTAACTGACAGTGAGCAAGTCATGATACTTCTAAATGTCCCAGGAGATTTTCTAAAGCTCTAAATTATAGACATTTGTACGAGTAGGGAGAATTTCTTCACTGGTGGTTCTCCAGATGGATGACATCACATATCCAAATAAGCAACAAAAACTGAAAACAAAATGGGTATCCATCCATTAAGGGGAATGGCTAAAGTGTATGAATATAATGGAATATTATCATACCACAAAAAATGAAAAAAATGAGGAATTCAGAGAAACCTGGGAAGATTTATAGGAAGTGATGCAAAGCAAAGAAAGCAGAACCATGAGAATAACATGCATGATACTTACAATAATGCAAAACAAAATAACACCAAAAGTCAACTGAACCCAAATTAAATGCACTGACAATACTGCTTTCCTTAGGACAAATAATGAAATAGACCTCCCTCCTTTCAGTAGAAAGGGGGATTATAGATGATGGATGTTGCATATTCTGATAGACACAGTCATCATGTTGGTCAGTCGGGTTAGGTGCTACCATTTGCTACCTGTGTGACTACAGGCCAGTTACTTTACCTTGCTGGGTTTCAGCGTCTTCACCTGTGTGATAAAGAGGTAGACTAGGACCCTTCCAGCTCTAAATTCTATGACCAAGAATCAGCGTGATACAGTACAAGAGAGTTTTGGATTGGTGATCAGAGGACTTGAGTTTAAATGCTGCCTCAGATGTTAGCTATGTGACCCTAGGTAAATAGCTACCTCTCTTGAGTCTCACTTCCTTTATCCACAAAATGGGGGTGTAGGACTAGACCCCTTCCAACTATAATCCTGTGACCCCATCCTTGGTTTAGTACTTCTCTCCAAGTCAAGCATCCTATTGGGTTCTTGTGAGTGGCTTATCCATTCGAATGTCTGAATGAAAGAAAAATCATTGGCAGTGCCATCGAAAGGGAGCACTGGGAGACCCTGTGTTCCTGGAAGGGTTTCTAAGGCTTTATATAGCTCTACAACCCGTTTGTTCCCTGAGGGAGGCCTCTTCTCCAACAATCACAATGAGTGACATGTGGCATACATAGTAGCCTCTGTGAGGACTGCAGAAGCTGGAGAAGGGAAAGAAGAGCTCCAGACTGGAGCAGTGCCCAGCAGGGCCAGCCTGGATCAATGAGGCCAGGACAACTAGGGGGAACCCCATAGGTATCCTCTGGGACCAATTCCTTTGACAGCATGGTCTAGTCAGCCCGGGTTCAAATCCCAGCTCACACCTAGCTTTGTGACCCTGGGCAAATCAAAGCCACTCAGCCTGAGATTCATCATCTATAAAATGAGGGGCTCACGTAAAACATGAAATTGTATACTAAGGGCTGGCTGGTTGAAAGGTCTGCCTCAGCATAGTTAAAGTTAATCTGTAAGTTTGGTGCTTATTTAAAAGCTAAGTAGCTTGTATATTGAATGCTGCTTCCCAAGTCTGTTTCAAAGAGAATTGCAGGAAAAACAGAAAAGGGAGGGGAAAACTCACAGACTTTACCTAAAATCTTTATAAAAAAGAACATTCACACTTATTAAATATTTAAAATGCCTGAGGCAATAGAAATGTCTCTTGATTCCCTTAAAATATATAACAGATTCATGCCATTAGTTCAGAACTCATGTACACACCCAGTCACACACGCACATGCACATACACACACACACACACACACACCTGTTCTAAATGATGCAAAAATATGTCTTTATTGGCTACAATCTGAAGCAAAGGCTACGGAATGAAATACCAAGCAACCTAATTTGTACAAGCGTGAGGCCTCCACACAGGCTCTCATTTGGAAGAGAATGACATCTGTGGTCTGACTCTATAAAAGCTTGTTCAGTGGAAATAGCCTGACATGTTTTACACGGCAGAGCTATTTAGCTGCCTGGTTTGACAAGACTTTTGAGAGGGGGGAAAATTAATTATAATTGCAATCTTGCTACAATAATTTGGCCTTCTGATTGAATTCCAGTGCAAAAACAGGCTGGGAGGAGTTTGTTCTCAGGTTGGCCTCCTAGATAGTAGGGGTAGCATCCATTTTATAAGCAATGAAGGGTGTGTGGGATTCAATAGGATAATGGGTTCAATTTTCTTTGAAACTGGAGATAAGCAAAAGCATCCTTTCCCTGATAAAGTAGTGTGGGTGCTATTTCACAAGAATTTTGGCCTGATTGTTTATTTTTTGGAAACTGGTTTGCAAGTATATGTGGGGAATGGGGAGGGATAGGGAGAAGTCAGGGGAGGGAAGACACCAAGAGACAATGTGGAAGGACATCGGGGGATATATATTGAAAGGTATGAAATGAGGTATATGCTTGTGGAAAAGGAATCAAAAGAGCAGAGTGCTATCAAGACAATGACACTTAAAAGAAACTAGATTGTCTTGAAATTATCTGGCATTTATGTATAGAGTGCCTTTTTACGTGCACTGAACTGCTTTGACTATGTACAGTGGCATTATAGGGAAATGAATCAGTTTCATAAACAGCAGTAAGTATTTGGATTTACCAAACCTGCTGGGGATGGACCCCCAAGGCCTTTATTTCTCTGTTCCAATCCTGGCTAAAAAGGGTTTTTTTTTTTTTATCTCTGGTAAAAGTCAATAGTCACTGAGGCAAAATGGAGTCCACTTGCAAATTCTGAGCTTCAGGTCATTTTTACAACTGCAAAACTCAAGACTGTCATTGAAGCAAGTTTCTAAAAAGTTTTTCACCTTTCTTTTCCCTTCCATATTTCCAAGTCAGTCTTCAGTGAAAGAAGATGTCATGATATGGTTATTTCAGACATTTACATGTGAAGCCAATTTCTCCAAGGTTCCCTCATCCATCCAGACTTCAGGGTTTTTCCTTGAGTTTAGCATTTTTTATGGTATCCAAAGACATCTTGCCTCCATTATAGGCAGCCAATCTGCTACTTTGACTTGCTCTGGCTCTGAAACTCCTAGGAAAAGCACAAAGCTGGCCATGTCATTGGACTCCTCTGCTGCTCTGCATACTCTTTGAGAAAGAGTATGATGCACTTAGAAAAGATCAAATCACCTTTCTGAAGGATTCAAGCCTTCCAACTCAATGAGAGAAAACGAAGAGGCAGAGAGGGAGGGAAAAAGTATTCAACCCCTCCTGTCCTATTAAATTATAGACTATATCACTCTCCTATTGGGCACAGCTGTGAAAGTGGTAGAAAATCAATTTTTTGTATTCCTTCATGGTAGGGAGAGAAAACCTATTTGTAAATTGAATGCAACTCTAAACGCCATGTCTGCGTATGTGTTAAAGACTAATGAAATTAGCCACAGTTACAACTACAATCCAGCAAGGAGGTTTCTAGGTCAGTTCCTTCTTGGTTAGGACTTCATATTTTCCAGTTGACCATCTGTGGCTCCCTCTTTTCTGAGATTTTTTTTTGTAATAGATTCAAGGAGATCCCTCTAGAAATGGCACCAAAATAGAATACTCTACCAAGTTCAATATGATTTTTTAAAAAAGTATTTCAATGTGATAAAAGTCCTGTTCTTGATACTTGGTTGTTTCAGTCAGCCAGTTGTCAGCTAGTCAGTCAACAACAATTAGTGAGCATAAAATGGAATCATTCACTTAGCCTGTTGGCTAGTAAGTCAGTCTGTTATCCAGTCATCTAGTCACTCAGTTACTCAATTAGACACGGACAAAAATAAGTCACTCAGACAATCAGCCAGTTAACAACAATTAGGGAGCATTAAACAGAAGGACTCTCTTTGCCTGTTGGTTAGTCACTCAGACAAATAGACAGTCAGTCAGTCAGCCAGTAAAATTGTCAGTCAATGAGCCAACAATTACTGAACATGAAACAGCACCACTCTGGATTTTGGTTTTTGCTTTGTTTCATTCTCTGGTTCTGGTTGTGGATGGATTGGTTGGGCTATGAGTCAAATGTACAGGTCAGGTACAGTTCAAGAAAACAGCTTTTCCCTCACACCAATGCTGTGTAAGGGAAATATTGTGAAGTTAAAATCTTGAAAGTTCATTAAGAGTCTCCCCTCTAGTGGGACAACAAGGTATTTCAGCCAGCAAGAAACCTCTTTTCTCTTCTCTTCTCTTCTCTTCTCTTCTCTTCTCTTCTCTTCTCTTCTCTTCTCTTCTCTTCTCTTCTCTTCTCTTCTCTTCTCTTCTCTTCTCTTCTCTTCTCTTCTCTTCTCTTCTCTTCTCTTCTCTTCTCTTCTCTTCTCTTCTCTTCTCTTCTCTTCCCTTCCCTTCTCCTCTCCTCTCCTCTCTTCTCTCCTCTCCCCTCTTCTCTTCTTTCCTCTCCTCTCCTCTCTGCTCTCTTTTTTATTTTTTTTGGAAAGCAAAGAATTCAAGTTTTCCAGATAGTGCAAGACAAAGAAGTCATTCTCAGGAGATATCTCTGAGAGCTGAACCAAGCCTATCAGTACTGGAAATGTCCTAGGTATTGTACGTAACACTGGGCAGTGCTATTGGCACTGTTTGGAATGAATGGCAACACTTTGTAATAAACCAGGGATTAATACCTCACCTCCCAGAGTCTGCCAAGGTTGTCTCTTGTCTTTGTAACTCCCAAGATATCTCAGAGGGCTATCACATGCAGTGTTCTCACTTTGGGGTTACTAAAATAAGGCCTACTTTAAGAACAACAATCATATTAGGAATGTTAAAATAATTGTTAAGATTTTTGTACCTTTTTTTTTTTGAACTTGTCAACACGAAGCAGCCTCTTTAAAAGGCTATACTCGATTTTTTTTAACAAAAAAGATGTACAAATGTAAAAAAAAAACCCAAAGTCTTTGTTTTTTGTTTTCGTTTTTTTAAGGAGAAAATAATTTTGTGGTTGGAGTTGTACGTTGGTAAGGCAGCAAATTACCTTAAAATCTACCCTTGTACATGATGTCAGCATCTGGCTTCTATGTTCTAGAGAATCTCAGAACTTGGACTGCTTGAGTTTATCGATGTGGTAGCAAAGTTTCAGTGCTGGCCCTAGTTTCAAGCCCAGGTATTTCATCACCATGTCACTCTTTAGCAGTAACAATGCATTGCCATCAATTTCCTAGTTGAGAGAGACAGAAAGAAACAAAGAAGGACAGAGAAAGAGTCAGAGACAGACATAGAGAGGATATTTGGGAGAGGATGGTCACATATTTTTGAATACTTTTCACATCTATTTTATTTTTATAAATATTTGTCATTTCTCCTCCACTGCACCACCCCTAATTGAACAATAACAACCACAAAACATGAAAAATAAAACCTTCATAACAAATAGACAGAGTCCAGCAAGATGTTTACATCGGCCACTTGGAAAAATGTGTGTCTCATTTTAAGACCACCTTCTCTCTGGCAAGAGATTGGTGCCATGTTTCATTTTTCAGTCCTCTGGACTCATGGCTCCCTATTGCATTGATGAAGAATTCTTTCAAAGATATTTTCTTTGTAAAGTTGTTATTGTATAAGTTGTTCTAATTCTGTTCATTTTACTCTGCATCAGTCTACAGAGTACTTCTCAGTTTCCCCAGAAACTATCATCATGTCTTATGGTATAATAATATTCTATTACATTCACAAACCATAATTCGTTTAGCCATTTTAAAATAGGTGGGCATCTCTTTAGTTTTTAGTTTGAGGCCATTGTGAAAAGATCTACTATAAATGTATTTGTATATATAGCTCCTTCTTCTCTTTTTTTGATAAGACAGATGCAGAGAAAGACAGAGGCATAGGTATAGAGGGTAGGACTGTTAGTGGTATTACTACATCAAAGAATATGAGCAGTTTAGTAATTTGGGGGGCTTTGTTCCCTCAAATCTAAATCCCCTCAATCTAAATTGCTTAGACTTATGAATTTTAGGGCCAAAGTTGACTTAAAATCACATGAAATTTTTAAGAAGGTGAGTTGCATTTTCCTTGTCAAATAACCACTTCTATCTTTTTCCAAGTAAAATGACTTTGTACATTAGAAATTTAAGCCTTTAGTTAATAATGACAATTATAATAATAATGACTAATATTTATTTACTTAGTGCCATATAGCATAAAGATGCTTTTAAAGTCAACATCTTTTACCTTTAGTGACTTGAAGACAAACAAATCAATATCCCTGATTTTGAAAGCAAGGGTCATATCTGGATGTGTGGCTTAGTTTCTTTCCTGATTGCTTTGCCCTTTTTCCTTTTTTTTTCCTTTGGTTAGGCAATGGGGTTAAGTGACTTGCCCAGGGTCACACAGCTAGTAAGTATTATGTGTCTGAGGCCTTTTTCCTTTTGTCTGAGAAATACACACACATATACAAATATGTGTATGTATGTATACATATATTTTCCAAATACATTCCACATATTTTCTCTCTATATATGTGTATATAATGTGTGTATATATGTGTATATTTATTCATTTAGTTGTTTCAGTCATGTCCAACTCTTTATGACCTCATTTGGAATTTTCTTGGCAAAGGTATTGGAGTGGTCTGCCATTTCCTTCTCCAGATCATTTTACAGGTAATAGAGGTTAAGTGACTCGCCCAGGGCCACACAACTAGCAAGTGTCTGAGACTATATTTGAATTCAGGTCTTCATGATTCTAGGACTGGTGCTCTATCTACTGTGCTATATAGCTGCCTTCTATATCAGTATTGAGATTATAGCTATATCTGTGTTGTGTATATGTATATGTATGTGTATATGTATTATATATTTATGTGTGTATATGTATTATGTATATGTATAAATATATGTATATATGTGTACATATGTATGCACAGTAAGGTTGTAGTCATTTAAGAATAAGTGTTGGAGTCTAGAGTTGAGTACTTAAATGTATCTTAATAAGTATAAGTGTTAGAGAATTGAAGCCCCTCAGTGCTTACCTATTATTTTAACTTCTTTTCTCCATCTTGCCTGGAAAGAGTACTGGATTTGGAGTCAGAAGACATAGGTTCAAATCCTGGCAATGCCATTTACTACATGTGTAACCTTGAGAAAATAATTTCACTTTCCTGGGTCTCAGTTTCCTTGTGTGTAAAAGGAGGGATTTGGATTAAATGACCTCCAAAGTCTCTTGTAGCTCTAAATTTATGATTGTGATATTATTAGAAAGTTCATCTTTAAATGTTGTGTATGCGCATGTCTTGCTTCCAGAGATTCTTTCTAATGGAAAGAGTACTGGATTTAAAGGAAAAGGGCTTGGGTTTGAATTCCTACTCTGCTTCTTACTATGTTATCTTAGATTAATTACTTTCCCTTTATGATATGAGGCAATTCCCTCATGAGGGCATTGGATTACATGATCTCTAAGGTCTAAATCTTACAAACACTTATCCTCTCTTGACCTTCACGAATGGGTCAATGATTTGACCAAGGTCTCACAATAGATAGAAAATTGAGAGATAAAGAACTCTGCAATGCAATGGAACAATAATTTATTAAGTGCCTACTATGTTCCAGGCACTATTCTAAGTGAGGGGGAAGAAAGATTAAAAAAAAACAAAGTCTCTAACCCACAAGGAGTTTACATTCTATTGGCTAGCATTCTCTGCTGGTGTGTTTTGGGTCCAGGCTAATCTTATTGCCTATGTCTCTTTGTTGAAGGAATTGGAGAAAATAACATCTCTATTACTCAGGGAGGACTCAGGAAATTTTATCTCTGTTGTGTTCCCAAAACCAACCTCTATGTCTCTAGGAATAAGATACGACATCCATCATATTCTAAAATATGTGAACAAAACCAGGTCTGAGGTTTTGCAGCTTCCTTTCCCCATGTGCCATTCATTCCCTGGGTCTCTTGTGATTTTTTTTTTCCCTAAAATTTTCAGCCCTAACTTTAGTTGATTGCTAACGTGGTAATTGCACCCAGTGAGAGGTTTCAGGTGCTTTCTGGTCCTGTCAACAACTACATACAAATGATTCACCTGCTTCTTCCTAGAGTTTAGCTCATGCAATTATAGGGCTACAGTTAATACGCTAATCACCAGTGGTACTTGTGTTAATCCCATTTTGCTAAGAAAGACACAGAACTCCCGGAGATATATTTAATTCATGAGTCTAATTCAATTGGGCTTCTTTAGTCTCTTCTCACCTCAATTTAGATACCTGTACTGTATATTTCCCAGAACCACAGGTATAACATTGAAGTAAATTATAAGGGCTTCAAGAAGGGGAAGGATTACTATTCATTAACTGTGAGAAGAGCAACAAGCCTTCCTTTCTCCTCGGATCCAGGGCCAGCCCTAGGCAGAATTCTGGAGCAGGTCAAGATTGCCTTTGGCACCTCCCTCCCTTTAATTGCCCTTCCCACCCCCCCATCCCACTTTTCTCTTCCAGGGGTGGGGAACCTGTGGCCTCAAGGCCACATGTGGCCCTCTAGGTCCTCAAGTGTGGCCCTTTGACTGAATCCACACTTCAGAAGTGGATCTGCCTCCAGTTCCTATTCCTGAAGGGAAGTGCCTGAGATGGTCACCAGGCTCAACCTAATGGTTAAAGAGGGAGAGGGAGAATTGCAGGCAGAGGGAAGAGCATAAGCAAAGCTAGAGAGTTAGGAAATCACATGACATGTGTTTGTATGGGGGGGAGGTAGGCTAGAACGTAGTTTGGCTGGAATTTAGAATAATTTGGGGGTGGAGCACTATGAGGAAAAGCTAGAAGAGTAGGTTGGTGCCAAATTGTGGAAAGCTTTGAATTCCAGGAGAAAAAAAAATCCAGATTCTATTCAAGAGGAGCCACTTAAGATTTCTGAGCAGAATAACATTGCCAGGTCAATGCATAAGAAAGATTATTCTAGTTATAGTATTAGGGATAGATGAGTACAGATAAGAGAGCCTGTTAGCAGGCTACTGCCAATGCCTAGGTGGGAGGTGGTAAGGCCATATACTGGTGTGGTGGCAGCAGAAATAAGAGAGGGGTTAGATGAAAGAGTTGTCACAAAGTAGGATCCATAGAACTTGGTAGCCGATTGGATGTGAGAGGGGGAAAAGGGAATCAAGGTTTTGAATATGGGAGACTCTTTGAATGATCTTACAAGACTGACAGTACATGATCTGTAGAACTGAGTTCTATTCACCCGCAAACTAGACAGGGACCTTAAATTAAGTGCCCACTTAAACTTTTCTATGACATATTTGTCTCTTGGGAATGTAATGTACAGATTTACTTTACTTTAAATGATCTTAAATGAAAATCCAGGTTTCAGAAAAACATAAATTGTAGTATGATGTTTCACTTTATAAAAGTGAATTCTGTTGGGGTCTGTGGACCGCTAGAGACCTATAGATAGATTTCAGGGACCCATAAACTCAAATGGGGGAAAAATTCCACTGACCTCTAACTGCAATTTAGCATTTCCTCTAATTATTTAAAAACATTCAGAGGTGTCCATAGACTTTACTGTCTTTGGGGTTTAGGACACAAAAAATAAGAACTGCTACTTTAAATAGCAGCTTTTCCTCATGCATTTAAAACATTCTTTTATTTGTAAAAGATTGGTGCTTCCCAGAACACATCTACTAACTATGGGGTGTGACTATAAAGGAATATGAGTGATTTTAAATAAACATCTCCAAACTTATAAATATAAACACTCATTGACCCCTTCAAAGTAGTACTCTCGTGAGGCTAAACATTTATTCCAAAGATACTGTTATTTAGAACGTTTCTGGAATTGCTTTTAAGTCAACTGGGGCACATTCTTATGAATATAAAACCTCAATAGTTAATCATTTGACAGTAGACTTGATTTTTTTTGTTATAATCAAAAGTCATTCAAAGACAGGGAGGAATAAGGAATAAGTAAGTACAGGACTGAGCACCTAGCTTCCCAAGGGGACTGCTTTAAAGGAGTAGCTAGGTGGCTCAGTGGATAGAGCACTAGCCCTGAAGTCAGGAGGACCTGAGGTCAAATCTGGCCTCAGACACTTAGTAGCTTGTGACCTCGGGCAAGCCCGCTTCCCCCAAATAAAGGGGACAGCATTCAATTAGAAAAGTAAGTTCTGGGACGTTTGCTTATAAAAAAAAACATCAATTGCTTTATGGTCACATAAAGGCAGGTAGGCCTGAAATGTATGATGTCAAGCCCTCCAAGATGTTGGACATTGGATATTTTGTAATGACTGAGCTGAGCTCTTAGTAGGGAAAGAGATAGAGAAGATTGAAGTGGTATTGGCAGGCAGGGCAAGGGTGAGGGAGTGATTTGTTCTATTCGTATTCTTCAGACCCTTTCTGAATAAGGATAGACCCAATAGCAGAACTAATAGTTGCATAAAATTTTAGATCATTTTACAAATGACAACCACATGAATAAGATTCGGGTGTTAGTAGAGATATTAGCTTTCTTGTCTCCTCTCCCTCACCCCCACGCCTGTCCCTGCCACTCAAGACACTAGTGCAATGCCTATTCCTATATATTGGGCCAAGTTATTCAGGATGCCCAGTTATTCTGCTGAGGTTTCCCTTTCCAGGGTACGTTTGGGAAGCTTTCCTTGCCTATAGCAACTACAGGACAAGAATGTCACAGACATTCTTGATGTCCATTCTCTGACTGTCCTTCTAACCCTCTACTAAATGGACTTATTTACAATAAGATGTTTTCAGGGACAGAATGAAAACAAATAATGTGTTATACTGGGAGATGACATAGCAGATTAACAAGATAGTTTAGTGTGAATCCAGTTCCTGGCTTTGGGGAATCTCAGGGTATTTTAAAAACAGTGTCTCATTTATTTTGGTTAAGCCTGGGAATTCAAATGATTATCCAGGTCTGTCTTTAACCTGAGGGCAACGATCCTGACCCATAGTCATGAGCAATCATTCATAAATAAGGCCAGCAAGTGCTTGGAGGCCAGAAGTGCTGAACAGCAACATAAATTTCAGATCCCAGTAAAACCTCACCTCCCATGCATGGTCCATGGGAGTGTTGAGACCTGAGCCTTAAGAACTTCCTCAATCCTTTCTGTGGGAGTGGGACCCCACTGTTGGGGGCAAGAAGGATCACATTTTCTAGATTTGAACTCTGGTCCTCTGAAGAAAGGCTTCGTTCTCTTCCTGGGGAATGGAGAGTAGGCAAGTGTTCTTTTTCACTGTGTCTCAAGCATTTCACTCTGATAGAGGGGAGTGAGGTGCTGTTCATTTGGTCCACCTTAACAAGTCAGTGTCATCTGTATATTTATCTCGGACCTCCCACCCCAACCCCCTCAACCCATTCCCCAGGGCCCACAATATCTACATACATGTTTTCTGAAAAGCTCCACATGAGGTCCTAAGGCCTGAGGGTCAGCATCTTTCACAAACCAGACTACATCTTCCACAGTCCAGGTGGAGGGATTCTTGCTGGTAGGTCGGGCTGCATCTTGTCCATCTGGAGAAGGGCTTGAGGCTAAATGGGGGTGATCAAATAGAAGAAAAATACAAGGGGCTGTTAGAAAATGGACCCAAGGTCTACCACTCAGGGACACTGATGGCTGCTATCTGGTTTAACCCTGGGCTTTAGTCTGGGGGAAGGGGAAATGAATTTTCCTAACTAATCAGGACACAGGACACCAAGAAGGGTGTGTGTGTGTGTGTGTGTGTGTGTGTGTGTGTGTGTGTGTGTGTGTGTGTGTGTGCACTCTCGGCTGTGCTGGGTAAGGGGAAGGCTGTAAGTTGTTTTGCTCTTCTGTCCCTACCATGCCCATTGCAGAGGGACTAAACAGTAAGGAAGGTGTCTGAAGTCACCTTGGCTCTGATGTCACCAGATCTGAATCCAAATACCACTTCTGGGGCTTATCAGTGTGGTCTTAACATCCCTGAGACTCAGTTTCTTCTTTTGTAAAACGAGATTAGACTAGAAGATCCTAAGTCCCTTTCCAGCCTTAAGTCTACAACTCTAAGATCCCATCTGGAGACTAAACTTTCTGCCCTCTCTAAGCTCTAAAATGGGAGAAAAGAAGAAACAGGGGTTGGGAGATTATTTTCCTGTACCAACTGATAATCCATGGTGTTTAAAAGAACCTTTCTGTTCAGTTGTTTAGTTGTTTTTCAGTCATTTCTGACTCTTCATGACCCCATTGGGATTTCCAAGAGATACTGTAGTGGTTTGTCATTTCCTTCTCCAGCTCATTTTTACCAATGAGGAACCGGGGCAAAGAGAGTTAAATGACTTGCCCAGGGTCACACAGCTAGTTAAGTATCTGAAGCCAGATTTGAACTCAGGAAGATGAGTCTTCCTGACTCCAGGCTGGGCATTCTATTCACTGCATCACCTAGCTGCCTCTTTCTGCTCCATATCTTTTCAATCCTAGTCTCTCCATGAGCTGAAGCCCCTTGATGAACAGTCTACTTGTTAACCTGCTAAGAAGTATTAAGATAAACACTGAAAATGTGACTTTTTAAGTGTGAGAGCAGGATGATTTAAGGTCACTTCAGCCCACAATGGCTTAAATTCAAAGCAATAAAAACACTGTAGAATGGAGGTACATTTATGTCTTTATTCTTGGAATCTGCAGAAGGATGAATCTTCAATACCATATCCATGTAAACTCCCTTACATGGGGTTTATCACCCACAACAGGCATCACCCAGTCTTGGGAACTGGAGAGCCCACTACACCAAGACAAAACAAAAACAAAAACTTTCCATGGCCAAAGACTCATATTGGCTCAACCCTCCTGATTCTCATTAGTACCAATTGGTTTATAATGAATAAGTCTACCAGCTCTGAGGCATAGTTGGTGCATAAAGGGCTAGTGCTGGCACAGGGAGAAACAACAGATACATGGGGAGTTTCCACAGAAGACATTGAAGAAAATGGGAGTGGGAAATTAAAAAGTGTCCCTGGGATTCCCAGAGATCTCCAAAGAAGCACAATCCAATCCAAAATTCTCTTGCATTGTACTACACTGGCTCTTGAAGATCATAGCATTTATAAATAGAAGGAACTTTAAAGAACATCGAGTTCAACTCCTTCTTTTACGGATGGGGAAACTGAGCTCAGCTCAAACTCTCCCCATCTCTACATCTTAGAACCCTTAATTTCCTTTAAGCTTACCCAAGTCCCATCTCCTATGAGAGACCTTTCCTGATCTCCCTAATTGTTAGTGCCTCCTCCTCCTCCTCCCCACTCAAACAACCTTATATTTTTATATGGAGTGTCCTCAAAGTCTTAATACAGTTTTGAGCTTTTGTGTCTAAATTTTAGTCTTTCTATATTTAGCCTTTCACAATGGTGCATAAGTCTAACTAAGGCAGGAACTACTTCATTTTCGCCTTCGTTTCCCCAGTGCATTTAAACTCTCATTGCTTTGGGCAATTCTCTAAGATGATAAATTGCAGAAAAGGCCCTGAGCTACATCAATAAAGGGAGTTTCTTCACTCAAGAGTTCCCTATACCGGTGAAAGCCAGTCCCTGCCCCCATCTACAGTGCCTGCCATCGTGCCTGGCAGAGAGTAGGCATTTAATACTAGCTGCTTGGTATAGTGGATCTAGTGATTCACTTGAAAGGAGAAAAACCTGAATTTGAGTCCAAGTTCAGCAAATGACTAACTGTGTGACTCTTGACATGTAACCACTCTTGACTTTGGTTTCTTCATCTGGAAAATGGAGATAACAATAGCACTTATCTTATAAGACTGTTGTGTGGGCCAAATGAGATAATGTACCAAAAGTGCTTTGCAAACATTAAAGTGCTATATAAATGCAGTGATTATTATCATTATAAATGTTTATTGATTAACTGATTGAGGGAGAGATGAAGCATCTTGCCCAAGGTTAGAAGCTGGTTAGTGGCAATACCAAGGCTAAACTCCATGTCTCTAGATTCCTACTTCTTTCTACTGCACCCTTATAACTCTCTCTTCTTACTCTTTATTCCTATTGCCACTACTCTGGCTTAGGCCCTCCTCATGTTGTGCCTGGGTTACTGAAATAGCCTCATCATAGGTGATGTCCCCAACTCCTGTCTTTTTCCCCCCAGGACCATTTATTCAAAAGACATTTGTTAATCCATTTGGTCAGACTCAATATCCTGAGTTTCCTTCAAAACTCAGTTCATGCACCACCTCATGGCACTGTCCAGCTCACAAGAAGCACTGAATAAATGCTTGTTGATGGATTCATTCCTTGAGGAGAAGCATGTGGCAACATTAGCTTGATTAGATTGAAACTTGTATGCAGCAAAGGGTGGAAGGAAGGAAGGAAAGAAGGATGGAAGGAGGGAGGGAGGAAAGAAGGGAGGAAGAAAGGAAGGAAATAAGGAAGGAAGGAAGGAGAGAAGGAAAGAAGGAAGGAAGGAAGAATGGAAGGAGAGAGGGAGAAAGGAAAAAAGGGAGGAAGGAAAGAAGGAAGGAATGAAAGAAGAAAGAGAAGGAAATGGGAGGGAGGGAAGGAAGGAGGAAACAAAGGAAAGGAAGAAAGGAGGGAGGGAGGTTGGAAGAAAGGAAGAAAGCAAGGAAGAAGGAAAGGAAAGGAAGGAAGGAGGGAAGGAAAAGAAGGAAGGATTTATTAAGTGCCTACTATGTGCCAGGCATTGTGCTAAACATTTTACAATTATTATCTCATTTGATCCTCAAAACAACCCTGAGAAGTAGGTGCTATTATTATCCCCATTTTATACTTAAGGCCCACAGAGGTTGAGTGACTTGACCAGAGTCACATAGCTAGTAAATATCTGGGGCCATATTTGAATTTGCCATACTTCCCAGATGGGGTCTCTTTTTAGAGCACAGGGTGAGAGGAGGCTTGAAGTAGTGTGGCTGACAGATAAGACAGAACCCATGTAGAAGGGAGAAGACACAGGCAGTAGCCCAGCTCTTAAACAAGGTTGATGGCACCATTATCTTCTGAGCCAACCAGACTGTAAACCTCCGAGACATCTTTGACTCTTCTCTTTCCATACCACCACCACCCCAGCTCCTTCCTTACCCAATCAGCTGCTAAGATCTATTTTACCTCCACAATATACCATGAATTTACTCCAAAATACACATACCTTCTTTCCTTCTAACTCTACCACACATCGGGTAAGTGAAGGGGAATAATATGAAACATGTCGAGAAAGGAAGGCTGGAGCCAGATTGGGAAGGCCTTTAAAAGCCAAATATAGTTTGTATTTTATCTTAGTGGCGATGGGGGCCATTGAAGCTTTTCAAGCAAGGTGATATGGTGAGAACTCTGCTTTAGGAATATCACTTTGGTGGCTGTCTGGAAGATAGATTAGAGGGGAGAAACTTGAGGCAGGGAAACCAATTAGGAGTCTAGTGCAATAATTCAGGTGATGGGTGATGAGGATCTAAAATGGGGGGGCTCCCATGTGAGTGGAGAGAAGGGGATGGATTTAGGAAATGTTGTAGAAGACTTGGCAACTGATTGGGTCTATGGGGGGTGATGGAGAGTGAAGAGTTAAGAATGACTGAGGTTGAAAACTTAGGTGACAGGGTTGGGATTCCCTGGACAGAGATAAGGAAGTTGAAAAGAAGGAAGGATGGGGGGAGGAGTAACAAGTTTTATTCTGGACCTAAAGCATGAACTCAAAATTATTTTTAATTTACTTTGTATATATTTTGTATTTACTTAACAAGAGGCATGTTGTTTTCTCCTTAGAACTTAAGCTCTCTAGTGGATAAAAAGCTGGTTTTACAGTCAGGTGGTTGTCGTTAAGTTGTGTCTGACTCTTTATGAACTGTGGACCATACATAGCATGACAATATTGTCCATAGGGTTTTCTTTGTTTTCCTTTTTTTTTGTTTGTTTTTGGCTAGGCAATGGGGTTAAGTAACTTGCCCAAGGTCACACAGCTAGTAAGTGTCAAGTGTCTGAAGCCGGATTTTAATTTGGATCCTGACTCCAGCGTTGGTGCTCTATCCACTGCGCCACCTAGCTGCCCCTTTATGGGGTTTTCTTGGCAAAGATATTGGAGTGGTTTGCCATTTTCTTCTCTAGGGGATTAAGGCAAACAGAGGTCATGTGACTTGCTCAAGGTCACACAGCTAATAAGTATCTGAGACCAGATTTGAACTCAGGTCTTCTATCCACTGTACTACCTAGCTGCCTCCAGAGTCAGGTAGACCTGAATTCAAATCCCACTTCTGACATACTGGATTTGTGACCCTGGGCAAGTCAATTAGCCTCTTAGGCCTCCAGGCAGCTCTCTAGGACTATAAATTTCATGGTAAGTGCACATCTGCTTTGGTAGGAGTTTCCTCATTGGCAACAGCTCATACCAATGAAATCACAGGCCCAATTTAAAAAAAAAAAAAAGGTATAACTAATGGGAAATCTCCAATACGCTAAATGTCCAATATCCAGTCACTAAATAGGCAATCTTATAAGCAGGGAATCATTATTTTTGTTTTACAGGTAGAAAAATGAAGGCACTGAGTACTGTTGAAATGAACTCCCTC